AAAAGTTTTTTTTTTGGTGTGAAGTAAATGGTTGCTGCATTTTTATTTGATTCATTTGAAAATTGAGGCAGCTGGGTGTATTAAATGATAGTGTTAAAACATCTAACGATTTTTTTTTTTTCCCCATGCAGCCCCTCAGCTTCAATCGCAAATGTAATATCTTTAAGATATGAATAGTGTGCGTGATTCATTTATAGATCAAATTGCTTATATTACTAATGATAGACTAACTAATAAGTTAGGATGGTTTTCCTTTTTAATGTATATAAAACTATTTATATAATTTTTTTGTTCAACATGTCAAACTTTATATTTTTATTTTTATCATTCAAAATGTCAACTTTATGTTATTTAATTTTTTATTACATATATTTTTTAACATTTCAAATGTAATGCATTTATATAATAAAAATTACATATAATGAAAATAAGGTTCTTTTTTAGTAATTATACATTTAAAAGTAATTTTTATTATATACTTCCTCCATTTAAAAATATAAGGCATTTTTAACCAAATCTCATCCTCTAATAAAGTAATTAATTGTCTTCAAACTAGCCATATTTTTTTATATTTATTTCTTATTAATAGGTCATTTCACTCTAAAATAAATATAAAGTGATTTATTCAATAGGGATACTTAAAAAAAAAAGACAATGATTATATCCTAAAAAATTAAATAACAATTGTATTTAAGAGGACAATGGTTATTAAATACACTTTAATCAATAAGGATCATCATTATAATAATTTTTGTTTGGTAAAAATTTTTAATATTCGTACAGACAAAAGTTATGTGTACATATGCATTTTGAATTGTATATTTTTAATATGCAAAAATTTATATTATTTATACATTTTTTATTATATAAATTATTCACCATATCAAATTTTATATTTTTTTAAAAAAATAAATTTTAAATAAAAAATTACATACCATAAAACTATATACTTTTTAGTAATTATACTTCTAAATGTATTTTTTGTTATTATTTAAATATTTTTTAGTTTATCAAACTGACTTTTGAAATATATATTCAAACACAAATCTCATTACAATAACAAACCTTTATTAAATTAAATTTTGATAAATTAACCTTAATAAATGAACTTTTGTCAAACTAAAAACAAAACAAACCTTAAGAGTTTTAAGAGTTATTCTTTTTTAATGATTTTTTTTGTATTCTTGTTTTTAATGATCATTACATATTGATACATCTACAGTGTTTCTCTTAAAACACAAAAACATTCTATCTCTTCCTCTTGCACATATTCACAATTAATGTAGTTTAAGATGCCTATAATATTTTGTACATTGTTTTTAGCACAACATGTGAGACCTATAACTCTTACTCCCTCCATTCTTATCTATATAACACTTTTTAAAAGTAATTTTTAATCCAAAAAATAAGATATTTGTAATGAATAAACTACTTTTTTCCAAATTTATCATTTCTTAATTAGCATGAAGGTATTTAATATAATTATATTATTATTTAAAATCAAGGATAAAAAATAAAATTACATATTATTTTTTTATAATATAAAAAATTAACCATTCTTAAAATACGTGAAAGAGTTGAAAGTATTTTATAATAAAGACTGAAGAGAGTATCTAATAAACATCTAACTTTCCTTTTAAATTGAGAATTTTTACACTACTCTTATAAATTGGTGAATAAAATTGTACTATAATATAGTTTAAGAAGCTCTAGAATATTTTATGGAATATTTTTTGGTTATTGATTAATACTTACTTTTAGGAACTAATCATCATTCTCCCTATTAAATATTTATTTTTATTTTAGGAAAAATGACTAACAATTACCATATAAAGACATGAATTATAATTTAAAACCTTGAATTATAGAAATTTTAATTAAAACTTATGATTTTTAATTGTAATTAAAAAAGTTGCTTTCTACCAAAAATGCCCTTACTGAAGATTCATTAGGGTGCATTGCAGCTTGCCAGTTTCAATAAAATCTTAATTAACCATTATATTATTTTAAAATTTTATGATATGTTTGCATATTTTGCTTTTTTAAAATACTCTCTCTCATCTATTATATTAGATTATTTTAAAAGCTACTCAAAGTAATTTCTTAAAATAATCAAAAATATACTTTTTTTAAATTTAGATTAGTTTCAAAAGTTTAAACAAACACCATAAAAACTCATAAAATAATTTTAAAAAAAAAATAAGTGATTTTTTTAAGAAATAAGCTAAAACAAATAGCCTTATGGATGTGTTATCTAAGCTAATTGTGAGGCAGATTCTCTAGATTTTGCTCAATTCCCTTCATTTTCTAAAGCTATGTATATACCCTTAATTGTTAATAGTATTGTTATTAGAACCAAACGAGTCGGTTTGACTGGTTAAATTAGGAACCGATCATACGTCCACTCTGATTATACCTAAAAATTATTTTTCCTGTGAATTGCTCATGAATTGGTTGAACCGGCCAAAAAACAGTTGAACCAACCATGCTACTTTTTATTTTATTTTTAATTCATATTTTTAAAATATAATTTATACACATTTATACCCAATTACCATGATGAAATGAAAAAAATGCAAGAAATATGTATGAATTATGTATATATGTATATATTTTAAATTTATAAATTATAAATTATGAAATAATTATATATATTTTGGATGACAATAATGTCATAAACATAAACTATAAATTATCTTGTTTGAAATTTATATATTCATTTTTCTTACTATATATGATTATTTTTTTATTTTAAATATATAATATTTAAAATATATCAATTCATTTATGATCGGTGGGACCACTGTTTAGACTGTGGTCTGACTTTTGAACCATGAATTGGTACCTTGATCGATTCAATAACTGGTCTGGTTTTTATAACATTGGTTAATAGGAACCTTTTGCTCTTTTCACTGATTTTTTTTTTTTAATCTCTATCTTGTTTAGCTAAAACCTAGAATTTTGTAAAGTTTATTATCAATTTAAAGAATTGTTTAACTGAAAAATCAAAACAGAATAATTTTTGTGAAATCAAAATGGAATGATGCGAAGATTTTGATCCATTACAAAAAGTATTAAATAAAATAAAAGTATATTATTTATATAAGATGAGGTTATATAAAAAATAATAAAAAAATTCAAATTAAGTATGAGTAAATTAGATAAATTAAATAATTAAATTTAATTAATCAACTGAAGGAATATTATAGCCAACTATTATTGAAATAAAAATTAAAATAAATATTTTATTTATAATAAAATTGATTGTACTGTATGATGTATATTGAAGTGGGGTGAAAGGGAAGGGAAAGGGAAAAACTAATTAAAAATGGCAAACAATTTTGAAGAATTATGAAGGATGAATTGGCTTAATAAACAATTTCTGGTCAATCAAATTATAAATAAGATTTCTATTACCCAATGCAACACTTCAATAAAAAAAATCATACAATTAATGAAAAATCATCCAGTCCTAATTCCATGTTTAAATAAAAAATCTAAATTTATTAAATAAACAGAATTTATGGAAGAATGTTTGAAATTTGAATATAATTTATTCATTAAATTCAAGAGTAAATTTAATTTATGAACTATATTGTTAATATTTTTTATTTAAATAATTAAAATAAAATATTTTGAAATGCATAATTAAATCTGTATTATTAATTTATACGATCTTATTTACGGAAGCATCTTGATAGTTCAGTCAATTCTACCTGTTTCATCCCTTAGTAATGCATGCAGTTATATACTTTTATTTCATAAAAGTTACATGTGTTTCATTATCATAAACAACAAATGATATTTGCTATGCAATAGTATATGTTTAATAGGCACAATCAATTTCAACAATTGTTAGGCGCGCATATTATGTGTAAGATTTTTTTTTAAAAAAAAGACTATTTTTATTGAAAAAACAAAAGTTACTTTTTTTAGAAAAATATCAAAATAGTTTACTATATAATGCTGATGGGTTACTTTGCCGACCTTTTAAAAATGGCAACTAAATTCACAAGTTCTTTTATATATAATTAAATTTTATTATCAATTTAAAAGAAATTAATTGAAAAATAAAAATAGAACATCAAAACTGAATGGTTTGAAGAGGAATTATTAAATAAAACAACAATATATCATTTATCTAAGATGAAAGCTTTTAAATTAAAATAATGATAAAATAATTCAAATTAAATATAAGTAGGTTAGATAAGTTAAATAATTATTTTTAATGAATCAACATAACGGATATTATAGTTAAATAAGAAATTAAAATGAATAGTTTATATATAATAAATTTATTTTAATGTATGATATGTAAAGTGGAAGTCAATAAGGAAAAAGAAAAAAAAAATTCATTCCAAGGGCCAATTTGGTAAAGAATATGCTGTTAGAACATGTATTAACTTTTGATCCTTAAATTATAAAAATTTCAATAAAAGCCATGATCCTTAATTATAATTAAAAATCTTACCTCGCCCCCTCCCAAAAAAAAAAAAAAATCCCTCAGCAAAGACTCGCTGCCAGTGGTCGGATTCAGATTTACAATCTATTAATTATCATAACACTTAATCAATGAAAAATTATTTAAATTGGGAGTTGCACAATTATATTGAAATGTATATGAAAAGGATATATCTAAAATTATTTTCTAATATATATATAAATATGCAATGTTTGAGAAATGACATGTGAAGAGGAGAGGATAACATTTGACGTTCTTTATCCCCCACTTTTTAACAGACCATTTAACAATGTGCCTCTGAAAGATTTAACGAAAAATGTACAAATTATTTGTATATCCATATGAGATATTAGTTTTCTAGTTTGTGATTTGGACATAATCTTCATTGCATGGAAAGGAACACGAGTTTGAAGGGATTATTATAGGTGTAAAAAGATTGACCGAAGTTATTGTGAAAAACAAAAAAAGATTGACCGAATTTTTAACAACTTCAACGTGTTGATATGAAGCAGTCTCCTCGCCTTGCCCATCGCCAAACTCTGCGTGTGAAGAGCAGAGACTTGGTCACTGCTTTTAAACGCATTTCCCAATCTTCTCTCATTCAACCAACACGTTGCTCCTATATTTCAGACTTCATTTACCATCATTATGCATGTCTTGGACCTAAGCTAATCTGTGATAATTCAACTGAAGGGGACGAAGGAGATTCGTTGGGTTTTGCTCAATCCCCTTCATTTTCTAAAGCTATATATATACCCTTAACTGTTTATAGGACCCTTTTGCTCTTTTCACTGATTTCTTGTTTTATCTCTATCTTCTTTAGCTAAAACCTAGAATTTTGTAAAGTTAATACTTACTGTTCGGTTTTAATTTCTTCCTTCCATCTAATGGTTTATGATCAAAACTTCTATTTCTTTTAAGTAGATCAATCTGGTTTTAGCATTGTTCATATATTTCTTTTACTGTGTTGTTTTCGGGAAAGAAGTTTTCCTAGAGAACGTTAGAGCTGTAATGCCTGCCAAGTGCTTGTTATTTGTCACTGAACCAAAATTCTCTGAGAAATTATACACGTGAGATCTTCCGAGTTTGGTGGGATTAATTAAGAACTTTTTGTGAGTGGATCGAGAGTGTCTAGAAGAAGAAAAAGAAGAATGAAGGGAGGAATTGAGGAGGTAAAGGAGATAAGCCCAATGTTTCCTAGGCTGCATGTTAAAGATGCAGATAAAGGAGGACCAAAAGCCCCTCCAAGGAACAAGATGGCTCTCTACGAACAATCCACCATCCCTTCTCAAGCTCTTGCTTCTGGATCCCCACCCAAGTTTCCTCCTCTTCTCAGAAATAATTTCACAGTTCCTGCATTGTCTGGCCATGTGAGTCTACTAATGCTCCACATGATTTTTGAACAGAAACATCCAGGATCTCTTCAATTTCTTAGATGGTACCATGCATAATTTGATTTCCCTTTTTCCCCAGCATAAAATGTTATTGTTGTCATGGTCCTTATAAAAACGTGGTAAGATCGATTGACATTATTACTTAAAGATGATTGAACACGTTTAAGCACATTGCATTGTGTCTGCTCTTTGCTGTTGTTTTTGATCATAATGGCTATATCGGGTTACACAGGTCAGTAGCAGTCCAGGCATCCAATTCTGCAACTCAGGTGTATCTTGTTATCTGTCTGAGAAGATTCATGCTTATCAATCCAGAACTGTGAACTTCACCAAATTGATGGTAAAACCCATGAAACGAACGAGTTAACATATTTTGAAATGCATGTTCCTATTGTTACTGACTAGTGTATGCAATGTTTCAGCCAGATGGTCTCATCAGTTGTAACAATTCTACAAAAAATTACGAGCATGGCGATGCTTTGGTAACTCCTGTCGCTACCCATGGAAAAAATTCATGCTGCAGCATCAACCAGAATGAGGAAGATGAGGAGAAACTTGCTCACTGTAAATCAAGCTGTTCACTTCTAAGTCAAAATTCATTCAGTAAGAAGGTGAGTTTAACTAGACCCATAGAACTGATGCCAGCAAGATATGAGAAGAACAGGACAGACGATCACACAGAAGTAAATCAAACAGATCTCCCGGAGGAAGGGTCTGCTTATCCATTAACTGGTTTTGGTGATATGACGGATGAATCATCAATCTCATCAGTCAAAATTAAAACTCCTAAACCAATAAAGAAAGCAAATTCATCTTTGATGGAAGACTTTAGAAGTATTTCAGCAGATAGCCTGAAAATATTGCAAGGTAGCAATGGCCTGGCAAATGAAGAGGATGCAGCTTTTGGGGACAAAATCAACCTTAGGGATGGTTACTTGGAGAAGCCGGCAACAACTGACGTTCAAAAATGTCCTGATGTTTTAGAAATTGATAGAAAGTGCTTCTGGGGCAAGAGAGACGGGCATAAAAGTGAAGATACCTATAGACATTATGACGCTCTAAGTAATAACGTCCCAGACTATACAATAGGCATAAAAATGAGAATCACTCCTGATGATGTTATGGGAGTTATGGGGGAAAAGCAATTCTGGAGAGTAAGAAGAACCATCATCAAGTAAAGTGATCTGTCTCGTTGTGTTTATTTATGATTCAGCCTTCAATTATTTTTTCATCATACTACTATAGATTACATAACTAAATTCATTGCTGGAGGTAGTGGTAAAAGATAACCCTGAGTTTCTGAAAATCCTAGTTATGGACTTGATCATTTCCAAGATGATTTGATTGTATTTTTAGCTCCCCTCTAGAGTATAGAAAATTATAGCAACTTACAGATGTATGCTACAGGCGAAATGTTACTTGTTTCACAAGCATGAAATCATTGTGTCTGTTTAGAAGTTGCCTTCTAAGAGAAATTTGTTGGTGTCTTTGGAGAAGGCAATTGTGTTGTTTTAGATTTTGAGTAAAATGTTTGGGCATTGTGGTAAAGGTCAAGGTAATGAGGGGAGGTTATAATAGAGAATGGAAGATCCATGCTAAGCATTGAAAATCATATAACTTAAGTTTGTTTTATATTTTAGTAGTTATCTTTATTTTAAATTTTATTTAAATTTTGTATTGGGATTATTCTATCTCATCTCTTATATGGGTTGGTTGAAATTATAATTATTTTAATAATTGCACTTAGGTCTCTATGATAGCCATATAATTATTTAGAGGTCAGACTCTAGCCTATTGAAAATATGATTGAGACTTCTGTTCTCACATCTATCCCCTGAGTTCTCTCCTCTCCCTAGATCTCATTCTCCCTCAGTACTATGAATCTCATAATGTAAGTCCTAAATGCTTCGGACTTGTTGACTTCTAATGTCCAGCCAAAGAAAACTTCTCGGAACAGCATGCATAGAGGTGGCTATAGAGGGAGGGAAAATCATTTTAAAACGGATTCAAGAGGGAGACTATTAGAGTTAGTCGTAAAGGGCGCTCCATACATACTCTTTATCTGCAAATGGCTATCAGAAGTGAATGAAGTTCTTTCCTACTTCTACCTTCTATCACCGTAAGGTATACTCTGTTTTATTGGGGTTTGTTACTCTCTTCAGCCTTTCTTTGGCTCCTTTGGCATCGTCTGTTTCCGTCACACTATATCTCAGTTTAGTCTCATAGGGTGAACCTAAAGTCAATAGAAAAGAGAAGAGTGCAAGCATGTTTCCTTTGTCATACTTATTTGACAAGATTGAACCTTCAATGCATGACCAACACATAACGAGAGAGAGGGGGGGGGGGGCAGAAAGAGAGGAAGGGAATACGGAGATTTTTTTTAGTTAATTTGGTTTGACTCGTATTTTTCAGCTTTAGAGAAATCAAGTTCATCGGTATTAGAGATAAAGAATAGGAAGTGTCTAAAGTGGAGAGTGGCTTCTTTTCCATCCCTTGCAGGATTGAATTCTAGGAAATCCTAAGAACGATACAGGGAGCTCAAATTTAAGGAAAGTACCTTGGAAAAGGTTTTTGTTCAAGTTTGATGGAACTCATGGAAAGATACGTGCAGAAAATTATACTCTGATGAAAAACTACTCAATCATGACATACCTTTTTTAGCACTCAAAAAATTATTAATGATCCCAACCTATGTGAGAATTTGAGAAAAGGATTTAGGAAATATCTTGGTTATCATTCAAATATTGTTGCTGAACTGTTGAGAATTCTTGAAGACCTCAACCTATGCTGGAAATGGAGATACTCTCATGTCAATATTCATTATGACTCCATAGAAGTTATTTACTTCGTACAAAGTAAACATAACCTAAATCATCCTCTCATCAATGCTATCAAAGTGATTAGAAATTTGCTCATGCAGGATTGACAAGTTTTAATTGAACATGTTTTCAGAGAAACAATCATTGTGTTGACTAGCTTGCGTATCAAGCTGATAATATGATGTTTTTTATATTAGAATTTTTAATGTTCTGCCCTTGAGGTGTAGGAATTTTTTATGTTTAGACTCCTTGTGATTTTTTGAAACTCCATGGAGGCATGGACTTAACCTAGCCATCTCAATTAAAAAAGAAATGGGGAGTAGCAGTTGGTGGCAATTTAATTATTAATTCATTTCTAACATTTCAGTCATGCAGTATCAAAATATGAATTAGTTTTCAAATAAGAAACCTAACTATAACTACATCCTAAATTATTACTTTTTTGGTTACAAATAAATCTAAATTATTGGTGATACCTAATTAACTACAAAATATCATATAAACATATCGTTTACTAAACTTATTACTCCCTATCTTGTTTTTGCCTGATCTTAACCTTGACTTCATCATGTGAATTATTATTTAAAGTCACTACATACATTTCATTCGTCCACCTCCATTATTTCTTTGATTCTAGTCTGCTCTCTACTTACCTGACTCTGGTTGCTATTTTCAGTCAACAGAGAGTCTTCGTTCAGCAAGTGTTTGAACTGCATAGACTGATAAAGGTAAATGCCAGAAAGATATTGTTTTTTTCCATTAATTATGTGTGCCTGTTTATGGAGAAATATTTGGTAGAAGAAATTATATGTAACTAGACTGTTTACACTCTAATTGTCAGATTCTGAGACGTAACTAAAATGCTTCTTCAATCTAAAGCAGGTACAAAAGCTAATTGCAGGATCACCCCATCTCTTGATTCAAGATAAGCTTCTATTGAACAAACCTACACTAAAAGTATCTGCTCCCAAGAAACTACAATCTGACTCCGTCATAGAACAACCATCGTCAAATGCCAAACTAAACGACAGCAACTTTGAGAAACCTATCACTGTTGAATGTGCTGAAAGTAATATAATACGCTTTCCTGGGGTCAACAATATGAGCAAAGGCCCCCATGTTCAGCTTCCAACTTATGGTCATCACTCGGGAAACAATCAACTAGCCCTTCCAGCTCCCACAAGTACCAAAACATCCCCATGCTATGTCCACGCAGCGCCAGGAAATCAGTGGTTAGTGCCCTTCATTTCCCCTTCTGAAGGCCTTGTATACAAGCCCTTTGTAGGACCATGCCCTCCAAATGCAGGTTTTATGGGACCAGTATATGGAGCTTGCAACCCTATAAGCCTCACCCCAGGAAATAAGGATGTTCCAGATGCAACTCATGTTCCATATATACTTCCACCATCTACATCTGCTTTTGCGCATGAGCAAATGAGCCCTCCCACAAAGATGCAATCTAAAGGTGGTACTGAAAATTACCAATCAACCGGGTTTGTAAATTCTTCCATATTATACCAAAGCACATCTAACATGTCCAGCCAGATGAGTCAAGTGATGTCAAGACACGTTACAAATGATAATCACACATCAGAAGATAAAGATTTACAGACAAGTACAGGAAGCAGTCCCCCTAAGAGGATGAAAGGGGATGCACTTCCTTTGTTTCCAATGGCACCAACATTTTGGGCATCATCGGATCACCAGAAGGCCCAAGCTGTAAAAGAACATCAGCCACGTATAATCAAAGCCATACCTCACAATCCCAAGTCAACAACAGAATCGGCAGCTAGAATATTTAGGTCAATACAAGAAGAGAGGAAGCATTTATGATTAGGCTAACTATTCTATATCATGCCATTTCATTTGAAATATAAGGTCCACCAAGAGGACGAAAGGGGATGCGCTTCCTTTGTTTCCTATTGCACCAACATTTCGGGCGTCATCCCATCACCAGAAGGCCCAAGCTGCAGAAAAACATCAGCCACGTCTAATCGAAGGTATACCTCACACTCCAGAATCAACAACAGAATCTGCAGCTACAATATTTAGGTCGATACAAGAAGAAAGGAAATACTTGTGACCAGTCTATTTATGCTATGCCATTTCAGTTGAAATATTCCTGCAGTCCACCTAAGAGGATGACCGGGAATGTAATTCCTTTGTTTTCCTATGGCACCAACATTTGGGCATCATCAGACCATTAAAAGGTCCATGTTGTTGAAAAACATCAGACACAAAAAATGACAGCTATACCTCGCAATCCTAAGTCAACAACAGAATCTGCAGCTACAATATTTAGGTCAATACAAGAAGAAAGGAAATACCTGCGATTAGTCTATTCTACATTGTGCCATTTCAGTTGAAATATTTCTGCGGTAATACTCTAATTTTCTTCCAGTAACTATTTTTCTCCACATGTACCAGTTGTACAGAAGCAATTTTTTTTTTTTAAATAGAGTAACACACTACTAGTCTTTCTCTCCATCTTTAGCAAGTTGTATTCTTCACGGATCTTTCATTTGATTCTAATATCTTATGATTAGGGGAATCTGCATGGCGAAATATGATTCCCTTTTGTAGTTTTATTGGAATTCACTTTTAGTTACAGGAAGACTTTATGGCTGTTAATTTAAAAACATCTTTACACACTAAGAAGTTATGAATTTAATGAATTTCATAAGAAAGCTAGGTTTACTTTCCCATAAACATATTTAATTTTCCAGAGCTCTAACTAGGCTATCATGAATAGTCCATGACATTATGTGAGAATGCTTAAGCTCAGAGTGTCAGTAGACTGCCAGGAGAAGATCCTCAACCAGAGAGACCGACTGAAAGAATCTTAAGAATTTCATACGTTTTCACTAGAGAAAATACAACCATTCCCCTTGCCAAAACCCTTCCAGTACATGCTAAACAAATCCAACATGGACGGCACAGCCCCTCCTGATTATGTGAAAGCCAGAAAGAAATTTCTAATTCTCCAAATCATGTATTGTCTTTGCACCATCAGAAGCATTTTCCCTCTCCTTTTGATACCCAGCATGACAAACTGCATAGCTCTTGAAAGTTATTTTGTAACAATCCTAATAAATAAGATTTCACAAGTGAATCATTTTAAACAATCTGCCCAAACCTCTAACGTTAGGGAATGGACTTCCACCTCTATCTTCTTTGAGCAAGGAAGGATCAGAAAAGTGTAGAATACAATAATCAAGTTGAATGGGATTGATCATAATGCACAATTGAAAACTAGCCAGCACAAGCCCAATCCTTCGAAGCCCTGCAGAAACATAAATATTTTCCAACAATGTACATGCATGATTGAATATCCTACCTTCTACATCTTTCATAGACTGAAACAACAGTTCGGGGAGCAAAACATAAAATTGAGTTTCACCTTGCAGGACAATAATTTTATAACTCTGCTCCATCATCTTGAAGATTAATCATCACTCGCATCTATTATCAAGCTAGTTGTCTCCTGAAAAGCCACCAGAAGGTTGGAGGAGTTGGAACATAGTATAAGCAAGGAAGATCTAGTAATCTGATTGTGGTTTCTTATGGCCAAGGATGCAAGTATGTAAAAATCATGGTTACAGTTTGTTCCCACATTTAATAAGAAAGTAAATGCTTGTTATGACATTTGCTTTGTCTTTACCTTATTGTAATCCAGATGAATTGGTGTATTAATGTTTCAAACAATAATATAATCGCACAGAATATATCAGATATCCAAGCTGGTCCCAGATGAAGCAGAAAATGAGATATGGTACCTATCCTTGAACGGTTTTCTGAAGTAAAGATCAACAAAGCTCCAGTAGACAAATACACTCAATATGAGGAGTGTGTGGAAACATATCTACTGGCTGTAGACTTGTTAGTTTGTAACATCCTTCTATATTCTGCTGTGTCTGCACAAAATTTTGCACAACTCAAATTATTGAATCTGAAAGAACAAGGGCTGCTGGTTGTAGTAATTCAAATATCAATACATACCACACCATGACAAAGATAATCAAGGTCACGTGCACATGTAGCAGGATTGCATGACACATAAACTATGCGTGGTGCCTTAAGTTTTAGCAAGAATTTGATCAACTTCATGTGCATGCCTGGACGGTTTGGATCTGCATCAATTAAAAAGCTTAAGAGCTTGGAAATAATGCTACATCATTACAGAACACAAGAGGATCAATGGTGAGTCTCAATACAAATTTCAACTTTTACTGTCAAGATTTAAAGAATACAGTCAGCATGTTATTACTAAAATGAAGACAAGGTTTCTCTCAACATCTCAACTATGTAGAAACTAAAATGTGTTCATCAAAATTATAAACTTTTTTTTTTTTTTGAAACACCAGCACATACCAATATGCCTCCCTTTATATGAAATATCAAAAGGATGCAAGTTCTTCCCAAATATTAGTACGGCTTGTTAAATTCATGTTTCCAGAACATTTCCGATTTATTATCACCACTTGCTTTTATGAAACAAATTCAAGCAATCCAAATATTTAAATTATTTTAAAAATCATTTTAGGAAAATTCACATTAAGTATTTATATATAAATTATTCTTCTGATAAAGATAATACTCAAGCATAGAAAACATCAAACACATTACTGAAAGAACTCAAATTCATTAACAAAATAGGCTTCCTTTTCAAATTTTTTACCTTCTTTCATATAACCTTGAGTAATCATGTTATGCGACAAAAGCCTCTTGAATAATCATATTTATGGCAATTAACTGGTTAACATTCAATATGTGACAAAAGCCCCTTCGATTGAAATAGTTCACAAGCTAAATGCTGAAATTTTGACAGTTAATTGCCAAAGTTGAAACCATAAGGACTCGTTTCACTCATTTTCTAGGTGGTCAAAGTTAGAACTTTTAAAGTTATTAGTGAGTTATTGGTTAACGTAATTTAACCAACAAAATAAGAGAACTATCAGGAACAAACCTGAAATTACAATGTCTGGCTTAGGAAAATTTTTCCCAAAATTTTCATCAATTTTATTAAGATCTCCTTGGACAAATATGGCGTTTTCAATGCAGTTTATCTTGGCATTAAGACGGGCATCTGCAATGGCTTGCGGGACAACTTCATAGCCATAAACATGTCTGACGCTGAGAAAATTAAAAATAAATAAATAAATATCATAATACTGTTTGTCTTAGAATCAAGTGAGATAAGATGCTACTGTTATCCTTTTGTAGTTTGATTTAAAAAGAGGGGGGATGAAGAAATGATATTACCTTCTTGCAAGTGTCAGGCCTATAGTACCTGTCCCACAAAACAGGTCAAGGACAATTTCTGAGCCATCTCCCCTGATGCCAGCGAATTCTTCTATAAGCTTATATAATACCTCTGCCTAATAAAGAAAAGAAGTTATCTGAGTATCATCAATAACAACCATGATTAAATTCAAGAAAAACACAAGTGGGCCTGAGTTGTCATTTGTCAACAGCGTGTTGATTTTCTAAGCATATTGCAAAATGCATACCTGTTGTGTATTTGTTTGGAAGAAAGAGTTTGCTGATATTTGGAATGTAAGCCCTCTCAAAATCTCTGTAATGTTAGATTTCCCGTACAAAGTGTGTTCTTCCTCCCCAACAGATGTATTACCAACAGAAGTATTTACATTGTTCATGACACTTACCTATCATTCATGCAAAGGAAAATTGGGATAGCATTAAAAGATAATAGATATAAAATAACAATTTGGAAGCAAAACAATGAGTTCAGCTTTTGAGAAAATTTCCCAAAAAGCTCCAGATGTCTTGCTTTAAAATTTGAGTCAATATCGCATTCAAGGAAAAAAGACTACATAATAAACAACTTTGTTATCATAATGAGAATATTGACACAAGACAAAATCAGCATATCAAAGAAATCCTAAAGTTCACTAATAAAACTAATTTCTATTGAATGTGTAAGAGTTCCTGAAAATATCTTTCATCCTCCAGTTATTCCTGTCAAGTCTCAAGGTCCAAACCAAGCTTCAGTGAAGCAGTATTTAGGGACAGATCATGGAATCTCTCAAGAACCAGATCAAACCCTAGAAAGCACCAGTCTAAGTACACAAGCTCAGTAACTCCTCCCCTCATTTAACAGCATATGTTCCTCATCCATTCTGCTGGAATAGCTATTATTGAAACAAATCTTAATCATACTTTGCAAAGGTCAGTCAAGATGAATTGGAAGACGTACCCAAGTGCATTGTACAGAAATAGGGTAAAAGAAAAGTACTAATAAACTTCAGCACCAACCACTTCAGGAAATGCAGAAACTTTATCAACTAGAGGCTTCAGCAGGTCTGGCTTGTAAGAAGAGGTCACAAAATTGACCATAACTTCAGGAAGGCCGGTGCTGACATGTCTGGAACAAGTCATATTTGTTAGCATTGAAAAATTATAAACTCTTAGACATAGTGCAGCATCTCTTGTTAGTAAACGTCCACTCATATTTGATATATGATCAACCAACTTTACATTTAGAATGATGAAACCACAAATGGTTGCACATACTGGAAAAGTAGAGAAACAGGAATCAAAATTGAAGTTGTCCATTTTCTCCAATTTCAGTAACTTTTTTCACTTCCATAATTTTTTATGTAGTTTTCAGCATGCTTTATATTAATAATTTGACAGATTTTTCAAAGGTCAAATTAGCATTCCTGGTCACATTTTAAGTAATTAGTTAGGACAGCACATCCCTGTGATTCACCACACATTCTCACTGAACCACAGACCAGAAAATGTTCTAGTCTTTCCCCTGCTTACTTCCATAATAAAAATATAGGATTCAAATTGTTGTACCTAAATGACAAGTTATGACTGTATATCCGTAGGATAAATGAGATGGGCATTGTCCATAAGTATAGATCTAGGAACTACAGCACACACACATATATTAAAAAAACAAAGTTGGGTAAATGCAAGATATAATGATACATCCTATACCTTCCTGTTCTTAGCATCAAATGCTTAAGAAATCCAGAGTGTGAGCGAGCATCATAGGGTGAAAGACAAAGTTCTGGGTCTCTCCAACAATCTTGTACGGCTGCAAGAACCTATTTTTATCTCAAATCAAAATGGCAGGAAAATGACATTTCCCTTAAAAGGCGGGAAAATCCATATGCAATATGAAATCAAATGACTCTGATGAGTAGAATAATGGCTCCACTCTCAACAACAGACCAAAATTAATCAATTTCCAAAATCCCTCCACTCAAATGTAGCTAAACTCACAAAATCCATACAAAGATACTCTCCACACAAAATATTCTGAGTTTTTGGCAGAGTGCAGTTTGCTGGAAGGTTTAATGTGCAAAATGAGAAAAAAAAAATAAAAAGATATTTTACTCCAAACCCCAACTTAAATATTATACTTTGGAAAAGCTCACAGAAAAATGTTTGGCAACCCAAAAGATTTCTACTTTCTTTGATTTCCACTCCAATTAAATGCATTTCATCAGATAATTGCCACATATTAATTCAAACGTCTAAGAAGTCTAATGATGTCTGCTAGCAACCATGATAGTGCCTCTCCCTTCACACATAAATGCAAGGTCAAATAGACTGTAGGACCTCATTTTAAAGAAAAAGTTGTGCAATCTCTTTTATGAACCAAGATATGCGTGCATACCCATGCATATAGGGAACTGCAAGCTTCTTGAGTCTTAAAATATTTATTCCACAATAAATGCATAGGAGTACTCTATAGCTATACAGACTCTGTACTAGATAAGAGAATAACACTGCATACCTTATTAGCAGGAGCAGTCTGCAGGAAGCACTTGTCAACATTTAGAACTTTATCAAAATAACCAGGAGCATGCAATCCTAGAGCATAGCTTCCACTACCATTATTACTTTCCAGCAATAATTCTTTGGGTAACCACTTACGGGGACCAAATGAAAATTCCATCTGCAGAAGCAGCAAAACAGACATCGTATGCAAGTGTGAGTACAGATATCTTTCTTACAATAACAAAATGAAAAGGCAGCCATCGACTAACAATTGCTAAATTTTAATGTCAAGCAAGCACTTGATCATACTAAGAATTAACGAGACATGTATGTATCATAGTTACCCCTCTTCCTCTAATAACAAAAAAGTTTCACTTTGGCAAAGGGCATGCAAAATGTAAATGGTGCTACAGAGGCAATAAATGCTGATCAAATGCATCTTTTACAATAAATTTGTTGGGTGCTCCTGATAAGGGTTTAAAATTTTAAGATGACTAAGACATAATGTCACATACAAGAATAGCAACTTTTTGAATGAGGTGGGAAATAAGTTCCAACCTTTCTTTCTTCCTCAACAGTTTTGATCAACTTACGTTACCCTCTAGCTATACTTGAGGATTTTAGTTGGAGATACAGTTCCCTATTATATAAAGATGAACTCCTAAAAAATCAGGCAACTTTTTACTTGAGGATCAAGGAGATATCTCTGCTGAGACATTAAACAAGTCATAATTATAACCCATTGGAACAAATAATCATACAGGAAACGTAGATATGAAAAACCCTCCATTTAAATAAATTTAGCAAACTCCGCCTATGTTTATAGCCGGTCCCAAGCCCGGGTAAAGGAGGAGGGTTGTGTTAGGCCATCAACAGCCAATGTAAAAATTTGTTGAATCTATCATGAACATGGATAATAGACGTTATAATGTTAATGCTAGGTCGTTGCCCATAAGTAACGCGCTGCATGGCTCGAGTACAGTGATAAGTGAGTTAGAGCCGCTGCATCGGCGCCCGGATGTAGTGTTAAATGAGCAAGGGCTACCGCGTCATTCTGGACGCACGCGGCTAAAGAAGTTAGTCCATAAGAGCAAAATTAGATTTGGTACTTGGAATGTTGGGACATTAAATTGTAAATCTGTAGAGGTTGTAGGGGTTATGATTCAAAAAAATCAGTATGCGGAGGAGACTTTTATTGGAGGAGACTTTAATGGGCATGTCGGGAGGGAAGCTGGTCAGTATGCGAGGGTGCATGGTGGTTTTGGTTTTGGAGAGCTAAACAATGAAGGACAAACTCTTCTTGATTTCTCATTGGCGTATGATTTTAAGATTGCCAACACTTGTTTCAAGAAGAGAGATGAGCATCTCATCACTTACAAAAGTGGAGCCTCAAGGTCACAGATTGATTTTCTTTTGGTTAGGAACACAGATAGAAAACTTTGTAAAAATTGTAAGGTGATCCCCGGAGATGCTGTAACGACACAACATAGGGTTCTAGTCCTTGATGTGTGTATTATGAGTAAAATCAAAAAACGTCGACAAGTAGTAACACCAAGGATTAGGTGGTGGCAATTAAAAGGTGAGAAGCAAGATATTTTCAAGCGAAATCTTTTGGATAAAGGAATTTGGGATTCTCAGGGAAGTGCTAACATCATATGGGAGGATATGGCTAAAAAAATACGAGAGGTTGCAAAAGTAGTTTTGGGAGAATCGAAAGGTTCTGGTCCGAGAGATAAGGAGTCTTGGTGGTGGAATAATAGTGTGCAGGACAAAATCAAGTATAAGAAGAATTGTTTTAAAGCCATACATTTGTGTAACAATAGAAAAATTGGGAGAGGTACCGTATGGCTAAGAAGGAAACTAAGAGAGCTGTGGGTGAAGCTCGTTCTAAAGCTTTTGAAGAATTTTATAAGAACCTTGAGACGAAGGAAGGAGAGCAAAATATTTATAAGATTGCCAAGAGTAGGGAAAGAAAATCAAGAGATCTAGAACAGGTAAGGTGTATTAAGGATGAAGAGGGAAAAATTTTAGTTACAGATGATGAAATTAAAAATAGATGGGAGACTTATTTTTCTAAACTTTTCAATGATGGAGAGGATTCATCTAGTAACTTGGAGGATTTAGTAACTGGTGCAGGAGAACAAAATTTGTCATTCTATCGAATAATACGTGATAAGGAGGTAAAGGAAGCTCTTAAAAAAATGACAAATGATAGAGCCAACGGCCCTGATTGTATATCTATCGAAGCGTGGAAATGTTTAGGTGAAGAAGGGGTGAGATGGTTAACTAGGTTATTTAATGTGATTTTACGGTCCAAGAAAATGCCTGATGAGTGGAGGAGAAGTACATTAATTCCTATTTATAAAAATAAAGGAGATATTCAGAATTGTACTAACTATAGAGGGATTAAACTCATGAGCCACACAATGAAATTGTGGGAGAAAGTAATTGAGCACAGGTTGAGATTGGAGACAAGTATTTCTGAGAATCAATTTGGTTTTATGCCAGGTAGATCAACTACAGAGGCGATTTATCTACTAAGGGGATTAATGGAAAAGTATCGTTGTAAAGATAAAAATCTACACATAGTTTTTATTGATTTGGAAAAAGCTTATGACCGTATACCAAGAGAAGTGCTTTGGAAAGCGTTGGAAAAAAAGGGAGTATGGATTGCTTATATTAAAGCCATACAAGATATGTATGAGGGGGTAAAAACTAGTATAAGAACGCCTAGTGGTCAAACAAAGGATTTTTCTATAAAGATTGGACTACATCAGGGATCATCTCTGAGTCCTTATTTGTTCAACTTGATTTTAAATATCTTGACGGAACATATTCAAGAGAAAATCCCGAAATGTATGCTTTTCGCGGATGATATAGTTCTTATAGCAGAGACAAGAGAAGAGGTTAATTGCAAACTTGAGTTATGGAGGAGGACATTGGAGTCGAAAGGTTTTCGTCTGAGTAGAAGTAAGACGGAATATTTATATTGTAAATTTGGTAAAGGACTATTCGAAAATAATTTGGAAGTGAAATTGGGAGATCAAATTATACCTCAAATGGAAAAGTTTAGATATTTGGGAGCCATTATTCAAAATGATGGCGAAATCAGTGGAGATATTTCACATAGAATTCAAGCTGGGTGGTTTAATTGGAGAAAAGCTAAAGGAGTTATTTGTGACCGTAAGGTGCCTAATAAACTTAAAGGAAAGTTTTATCGCACTGCTATCAGACCGGCAATGTTATATAGTAGTGAATGCTGGGCTCTAACGGGACAGCAAGAGCATAAAGTTGGAGTAGCAGAGATGAGAATGTTACGATGGATGTGCAGACATACACGTAAAGATAAAATTCGAAATGAGCACATACGCGAAAAAGTGAGGGTGGCACCTATTGAGGAAAAAATGGTAGAAAATCGGTTGAGATGGTTTGGGCATGTACAAAGAAGACCAAGGGAGGCACCAGTGAGAAGAGTGGAACATATAACTTTGAGTCCGATTAAGAGAGGTAGAGGAAGGCCTAAGAAAACACTCTTGGAAGTTGTTGAACGTGATCTCTTAATTAATAATATTCCTAAAAGCTTGATAAATGATAGAGCACAATGGCGTCTTGCAATCCATGTAGCCAACCCCACCTAGTGGGATAAAGGCTTGTTGTTGTTGTTGTTGTTGTTTAAATAAATTTAGCAGCAAACTTGCAATTGCAGATCAGATATACAAGTTCATACCAAGCTAATTGGATTTGCGTAATTGTTGTAAATTTAATTTTTTTTTCCCCTAAAAGAAGAAGTATATATACACATAAAAGGGATGAGGAAAGAGCCTTCGACCAATGCGTTCTTTAAAATGATCTAATACATCACTAACCTTATTTCTGTAATTAAACTGTATATCACACGGAACAACGGGCTTCATAACGTTGTGCAACTCCAGTTCCTTGTGAGAAAATCTTCCTACATGTACCACCAAGTCACGGACTTGCTCCTCCTTAGCTCTCAGCTGAGCCTCATAAGATAAGTTTTGTGTTTTACATCCACCACAATAGGGTGCGTATTCGCAAGGAGCATCTACAATATCCCGAGGAGGAGTAATCGTCTTTAGCTTAGTCACCTGCTCTTCTTAACCAAGTTAAAACAGAAGCCACAACAGAGAGAACCCAAAATGATGAGATTCCGAGTTTTTGAGAAGGGAACGAACCAAATTTCATAAAATTGATAAATAAAATTCAAATTTGTAACACAAATAAAGCATTAAATTTCAGTTAAAACTAACAGGAGGCCACGTTATTTTGATTGTAATGACAAAGCTTGGGTCAATTTAACATTGAACTTGTAAAAGATATCCTTTCCAATATACTTTCTGGTTTCAAATAGTCAACTTAGGTTTTACTTTTCCATCCTATCCAAATCAAATAAGTAATTTGTCTCGTTTTGAGATGTTTTAAAGTGAAGCATCAATTTTGCAACTTCACTATTGTGAATTGTTTTTGAAAACTAAGCCAAACCAAGAATTCACCTCGGCATAATTTCCCTTCTTGCGAGTGACTCGACCAATGAATCGTTCTCCAGGAAGCGCGCGGTCGCACATAACAACGAACCCAGTATCAGTGACCTTACACAGACCCTTACCTTTAAAAGCCAAAGATTCACAAACTAATTCCAATGTCTGGCCTCGCTTGGGGAAGTAGGAATTGGGCTTGCTGGCTATGGTTGAGTCGGGGTGGGTCGGTTCCAGGTCTTCTTCGGCCAGAGAGCAAGAAAGAGAGGAGAAGGAAGATGATGAAGGAAGCTTTCGAAGACATGGCAGAGAGATACGTAAATGCCTGAAGCATTGGTTTGGTATAATCGCCATTTAGGTGTTTGGGAGCTGCCCCAGCCCTGCGCTTAAAGGGGAGAGCAACATAGAAGAGCACGCTCCGGGGAGGCAAAACAACGATATTGACGAAGTATGAGCCTTTGGGTTCGACTAGACACATGTCATACAAGGTGCTTTGTGGTGAGGAATTGGCTTTGTTCTCTTCTTTTTTCGCCCCAAATAATACTTATTTATTAAAATGTTTAGCTTAACAATTACTGTATCGCTCTCTTATTTGTGACGCGCAGAAAAAATAAATTCGTTAAATTATATTTTTAATATTTTAATTTTATATAAAATTTTAATTTATTCTCTTAATTTTATAAAATATTTTTTAATTTTTTTACTCTGACTCTAGCTCTGTTAGTTTTAAATAATTACCTTTTATGTTAATCATTATTATTTTTAAAATATAAATTAAATATATCAATATTTTATTAATATTGAAAATTTTAATATAAAAATTATTTATTGATGAACTAATAATATTAAAATGAAAAAATTTAAAAACATTTTTAAAAAATTAATGAATATATATCCCCATAAAATTTTAAAGAAATAAATGTACATTTTAACTAAACAAATTTTATTGTATTTATAATAAGTTCCATAAGTTTCTCTTTTTATCCCATTAAATATTAATGTAAGAAAGTACATTTTTAAAATATTCATTTTTTATAAGGACAAAATTAAAATCTTATTAACTTTTTTAACATAGTTAATGAATTTAAAAAAAATTATTTCAATAAAATACGTTAAAAATTATTTATAAATAGAATTGAAAAAGTATTTTGTTCATTTATAAAAATAATTTACCCTTATTAAGTTATCATTACTACTTTTTAATTATAAGGCTATGGACCATGTAAAGGAAAACAAAATTATATTAAATCTGAAAGATAATTCTAGTGGACATGTCGACAAGCCAATTAATATAAAGTTAACTTTTATAAAAGAATGATCAACGGTGATAATGACGGTCCAATCACGTGTAATGAAACTCCAAATATTCTTAGTATGACCAAATATGGGATAACTATGGTCATGCTCTATTGCTCTTTAAGAATAAGTGAGATGGTTTCCAAAAACTCACTGTGTTTATTAACTTGTAATATTTTCTTCCCAGCTAAGTTTGAAGTCTTTAGAAAGAAATAAAATAACATAAATATTTAAATAAAGTCATGCGATAAATTAAAATGAAACAAAATGAAAGAATGAACATGAAACTTTAAGTAAAACTAAAATATGTTTTTATTTAACTATTTTGTTAAGATAAAATTTATATTGTTGGTAAAATAAACCTGAAACTTTAAGTAAAACTAAAATATGTTTTTATTTAACTATTTTGTTAAGATAAAATTTATATTGTTGGTAAAATAAACCTAAAATTTAATCGTAAAATTAACTCTTGCATTGTTATTTGAATTTTTTCAAAAAGCAAAACGAAATTGTAATAATGTTTATTGCTATAAAGTACGCGTTAATTTTTATTTAGTGCCATGTAAGTGATGACTTTTTCGACTTGCAATCAGTCAATTACTATATGATAATTGAATCAAATAGAAAAAATATGAAACTTTGATTACCATGACCAACTTGATAGCGAGCTTCACTTGCGTATATTTTCGTTGGTGTTAGTTGCGTTATTATTTTATAAACTAAGTGAAATTAAAGACATAAATCTTTAAGCAAAATATTCATCTAATATTATAATAAATAATCCAATATAAATATATCTACATTCAAAATTATATATTTGCTTGGCCAAAAAAATTTCTATATTTGCTACTTGTGTATGAAACCCAATATCCGAAACTACGAAATCGTAGGAAAGTTTGAGAGACTTAAAAAAGAGCTTACTTCAATTTCTTTGTCCTCGGAAAAATATAATATAATAGAAAATTAAGGAAATAATTAACAATGATTGAGCAAAAATAAATAAGAGGGAGTTAAACAAAAAAAAAAACACAAAAACGCTCTCTGTGCAAAGCAATCTTGGATCTCAACCAGAAACGACACACAAAATCATTTAACGTTGATGTTTTCTTCTTCTTTCTTTTCTGAATGTTCCTACTTTCTATAATCAGTCTGAGGTTTCAATACAAAGTACAGCTACGAACATCATCTGCATGCACAAACAACTGATCATATGGTAAAAGACTTTTTTTTTTTTTAAAGCAAAAATTACTAACATTATCGATGAGGCACGATGTATATCTTCCTTCAATTCCATTCCTTTTTGCTTTTTGAACGATGCAAGGCATTTTTCTCATTATTGGATATATTCTTTCTTTTCTTATCCTTTTTTTTTTCTTTTTTAATACTGTGTGCATTCTTTTGATCTTATGCATTGTTGTCCTCAGAATTCTCCTTTCACTCCCCTTTTCATCATTCTTTTTATTATTGCATGGAGTTTTCTCTTATAAAACTTTGTTTTTTTTTCATATATTTCAAAGTGGATTTAAGCCAATCTGTGCTAAATACAATCTAGATCAGAATGTGTAAAGTACACTGAGAAAAAATAAAGAGAAAACAGAGCATAGGTGTAACCATGAAATATAAATCCCAAACACGTCGTATCTTGTTGGCGTTATTATCTCTTCCAAACACATAAACACAGAACATTTGAAATCAATACCAGTGAAATGCACATGAGGTCTTTTTCATCCTTAAACACAACATACAAAATATATACAACATATGATCATGACATCTATCTATCTATTTATGTATATCAGAACGTATTTTGCTGATTTTACATAGGTCTTGACGAAATTAAACATTTGAGATGATTCTGGCATGCATGCATGCAGAGGGTGGTGACGACGGCCTTGGAGGAAGGGAAGGAGACGAAGGAGGCTCCTACCCCATTCAGAACAGCACAACCCAGCAGGTCTTTCCCTCTGAGACTTCTTCAGTTCTTCTTAGTGTTCTTGATCTTCGGACTCTGTGCTTCAATGGTGAGCATGTACATGATTCGTCACTTTGGAATTCACAACAAGAACCTCATGATGCCTCTAATACAATCCTCTAGCTGCTACAAGCCTTGCTTCAAGGAAAAAGCCAGTGTGGAGAGTTGGATCAGACCTCCTCCAAGTTTACTGCACAGCATGAATGATACAGAGTTGTTTTGGAGGGCTACTTTTGTGCCAGCAATTAAGGACTACCCTTATCACAGAGTCCCTAGAATTGCCTTCATGTTCTTGACTAAAGGACCCTTGCCTTTGGCAACTATATGGGAAAGGTTCTTCAAAGGCCATGAAGATCTCTATTCAATCTATGTCCATTCACCACCTTCTTACAATGATGAGTTCTCACCTTCTTCAGCTTTTTACAGGAGACAGATCCCAAGTCAGGTACCTGATATATTCTGGTGTTTAGATTTCTAGCATTATGCTGCTTGTTCATTTTTAACAAAAAAAAGCAGCATTTGTGATTTTTTTTCATTAGGCATGCTAGTTTTTAGTTTTCATGCTATATGTTTCTCTGTTTCCATAAACCATCTCCTGTGGAGATAGCAAGAATAGAATAAGCTCCAAGAAGACCTACTCGTAAGTCTCAATTTTCTCTAGGAATCCCAAATTCAACGTATCATGTTAAATGCGTTTTCGTGAACACTAACACAGCAATACAATCTCACCAATGTGTCTGTCACATATGATTCAAGAGCTGATCTAAATTAAAGTCCACACATTTCTTTATGATCCCCTCAGAAGGAAATTCAGAAAAAATATTCGATATGTGTGGATCTAAAAGGTTTGTTCTTGCGATAAATCCTGCTTCTATCTACAGAAGAAGAAAAAAGTTCGTGGGATGTCAAAGACTCATATGACACTTACCAAAGACACTATCAACTGATTAGTGGTTTTTTATTTATATAGCTTTTTGATAACCATTGTCCTCAAGATTTCAATATATTATTCAGTTCATTACTAGATTATGCTTGATAATACCTTCATCATTACACTACTAAGGCATTATATCTATATTCTCATTTACAGCCAACAGAATGGGGAACCATGAGCATGTGTGATTCAGAAAGAAGACTTCTAGCCAATGCAATGCTTGATCTATCCAATGAATACTTCATCCTATTGTCTGAGTCTTGCATCCCTATCCAAAACTTCACTACTGTCTACAACTACGTATCACAGTCACAACACAGTTTCATGGGTTCATTTGATGAACCAGGACCCTATGGAAGAGGACGCTATAATGAACACATGGCTCCTCTAATCAATCTCGAGGACTGGAGAAAAGGGCCTCAGTGGTTTGAAGTTAACAGGGAACTTGCAGTTAGAATTGTGCAAGACAGAGATTACTATCCCAAGTTCAGAGATTTCTGCAAACCACATACTTGTTATGTGGATGAGCACTATTTTCAGACCATGCTTACCATCAATACTCCTCATCTTTTGGCCAACAGAAGCCTTACATATGTTGACTGGTCCAGAGGTGGGGCCCATCCAGTAACCTTCGTAAAGCAGGACATTGAAGAGGAGTTCTTCAGGAAGATACTGCAGCAGCATACTTGCTCCTACAATGGCCAGCCATCTTCCCTTTGTTTCTTATTTGCAAGAAAGTTTGCACCTGATGCTATTAATGCTATTTTAGATATAGCATCTAAAGCTCTGGGAATTTGAAAGACCCAATCCACTATAGAGAGAGATCAAATTAATAATGAAAAGAAACTTTGTAAATGTCTGTGCATGATTGATTTGAAAAGCCTACCTTTGGTAAATCAAGTCTACCAAAGATTTTTTTTTTCTCTTTAGGTTTACATCTTAGTCACAAGTGATTTTTCCCCCTAGGTTGCAGAAATTGAGTTGGTTGTACAGGATATTGGACATAAACTATAGTTTATAAATAGATACATATTAATGATTTATCGAATTTCTAGCCAGCCAAATTTAATACATGATAGACAACAACCGAATAAACTGCAGCCCCCCTTTTTGTTAAAGCTGAAACATACAGTTATGACGCAACACACAACCCTAATTTAATCCATTCTTCTCCTGCTGTCTGCATCTGACTATGTACAGTTATTTGAAGAGAGGGAGGGGGCCCAGTTCAAAGCCAGCGATAAAATCTTCAATAGATAGATGATATTGAAGTTGAAGACAATAACAAAGACCATTATAATGATAATATCATGATTACAGACTTCGATAATGAGAGGGTCATTTACCAGACAAATGAACAGGTGAATTTGGAATAGTAAAGACACCTCACTAGAAGAAAGATGCAAACAAATAAACATTGCTGAGAGAAAATTGGGATTCAACGTAATGATTTTTATGCAAGCACCAATGAAGGTGATTTGGATTTAAATGCTTTACAACTTAACTGTGAAACAAGCCAAATCATTGCCTCATTCCTCCAAGAAACAATCCAACACTGGCTTTTAGTGATTACTAGACTTATAATTCATCATGATAATTACCTTCTACCACAGGCACATTCTGCTGTAACTTTAGAAGATAACTAGCTGCTAACGACGCATGAAGTGCAGCTCCATAAGGAAGTGCATCTTCATTGACTTTGAAACGGGGTGAATGTGCTGATTCAAGCTGTTCAATTGAAGTGTCTTCCATTCCAAGAAAGAAGAAGTAACCAGGTAGACTCTCTTGATAGAATGCGAAGTCCTCAGATCCCATCAATGGTTGCATTTCTTTAACTTTATTAATCCCGAGCAAATCCCCAGCTACTTGTTGAAAATGCTTGTGCAGGTCACCATCGTTAACAGTTGGAGGGAAGAAGGATTTCTCTTTATCAAGAAAGCTAACTGTTGCATTGCACCTCTGCACGGCAGCCTGCCCAGTAATAACCTGCATATGTGCATCAACCTAGGCTTTTAATAGGATTGCATAGAAAAATGACACAACAATAGGTTTTCAGTTGTTTTCTAAGTTTTAGGATAGCGGTTGTGGAAGGAATGAAGAAAAATCCCGAAAAGAAATCTCCTAAGACTGTCTGATCCATAATCTAGTCATAGTTACTTTGGTTAAAGAATCATACAACAAAGAATATGAAAAGAAGCATGATGCTTGGATGGTGCTTCATATCATGGTTATCATTTGCATTAGCTTATAAATAATTCTACCCATGTGCAATCGGTGTTTTTCATCTCTAAATGTTCAAGTTGAGTTATGTGTAGGAAATTAACCAGTTATTCATGATATATGTTATCATTAATTTAGGATAAATTTGTAAACTCTTTTGGTTTTACAAAATATTACATATAGCAATTTTATTTCAGTGTTTCTTACCAAGGTTTAAAAGCATTATAATTTTCCTAGAAGCTTGTAATCAAGTTAATCAAATTCATCAATCATAATAAAGAAAACCAAATATATAATGTGATTTGATTATGCCAGTACAAAAATTGAGGTCACTAGCTTAACTTTGTTTGTGCTCATAAATGGATCTAATATTGTAATGGACACACCTGCTCAATCCGCTGTCTCAGTTGCATGAAACTTTCTTTTGAAAAAGCTCGGAAGGTTCCCCCAATTGTGACTGAATCTGGAATAACATTGAATGCACCACCTCCTTGAAATTTTGCTACCGTCACAACCTATGAGAATATTTTTTTAGTCAAAATGGCAGGGTTTTGCAATGTTAAAAGGAAAGTCCTCCAGGGAAACAAGCCTTTCCTTGAATTTCAATAATCAGCACTTACAAGACACAGACACATCACACATGAATGTTGGTGGATGCTAACTAACACATGCTCTTGGATGCAGAGAACTAAAGTCTTCTAGGTCTAGATCCCATCATGGCATCAATTATTTTCCCTTCGTTGTTGAAAAGGAATAGATGCCAATATTGGAGGAGTATCAATTTACGGTCAAAAGGTAGGACTCATGATTCTGTTATTCCTTCTCATATATATTTCACTGACAAGCATCCACATAGCTTTGCCCTGGCTGGTCTCAGATTTACATATTTTCCCATCCCGCATAAACCAGATACTTATAAGGTTATGCTGAATGCTCTGACTGGAAACTATTGAACGGGTCTTCAACTCCAGAGTATGTTTGCAGTCAACCACCCAGTGTTTGTTGCTTAAAAAGTACCACCGTCCTTAGCAAATCAATTGACACAGTTATTGTAACTAAAGTTATATTAGACTATCTCTATCATGCAAAATCTCAAATAAGTTACCAAAGAAAGCAGACAAAAATTTACTATGATAGTACTATAAATTTTGGTATCGCGCAGACAGCACCCAAATCTCAGACAATGCTAAAATTCACTTAGCGATAAGACTTGTTAGAATCAAGTTCAAACTCATCAACTGCAGCAAATTCTTTTTATTGTTAGTCCTAAGGCCCTGTTTGGTATGATGGAATTCTAAGTCTGGAAATGGAATCATAAATAGATTCTTGATGTAAGTTTGTCTGGTATTATAGATTTTGGATTCATTGGAATCCCAATTCCAGCAAAATATGCAAAATCCAATTCCATCTCAGGCTCTATGGAATCCGTTCGATTTTCTGGAATTAAAATTTAAAGCCACTTCTACCCTCATCACTCTCTGTCTCCTCCACCGGATCTATCATCATTTGCTTCACCTTCAACCACCTCCAACTACTTGCCTTCAACTTCATTGTTAAACTCCAATCATCATTGCCGCTTTTGATGCCGTGATGAACTAGCTAAAGGACATGTGATTTACAAAAACAAAAAATACAAAAGGTAACCTGGTGGGATGATAGCATGGAGGTTGCCCAGCCATGGAATCAAGTTCGACGGTGCTCTCGTGGGGATTTTGTGGGTTATGAATATGCTCCAAATTTTTTCTGGTTCAACCCATATTTCTAAAAGTTACAGAGATCTTCATACAGTGACAATGGCCAAGGGGAGAGACGAACATGAGAGAGATGATTTTTTTAAAAGGATATTTTAGTCTTTTCATATTTTAAATACATATATATATATTAAAATTAAATCAGGATTCCATCTTCATACCAAACACACTTTTAAAATTCAATTCTATTTCAATTTCGATTCCGATTCCGATTCCAATTCCAATTTCAGTTCCATTAAAAATTCTTCCATCATACCAAATGAGGCCTAAAATTTCAAGAAAGAGAAGTTATAATTGGAGACTTTTTATGAACTGGTCAAGATTGATTGAAATAACTGAACCATTGATTGAAATAACTGAACCCATCTTAATTCTCATTCAAGCTGCTCCTTCACCAATGCAGACTCCTTAACCATTTTGATAGTTTAACTTCCAATTTATAACGACTTTCATGATATTGCGTGCTTCTCATACAGATGATCACCTTCTCATGAGAAATCTCTAGTCAGTAATAGCATAAGTAGAATGTCCATAAAGATTCCACATTGCATGTGATTGAATATAATTGCTTGATACTAGGGAGACAGGCCTAAGTCCCAGGGTCTTAACATGACCAAAAGGATGAACAGATACTATTATGGTATATTTTAATCATTAAAAAAAACTTCAGACGCTTGTGTTTATGGAAAAAGGAGTTATGTTGACCCAAAAAAGGTGAGTGAAAGCTAGGGGAGCCTTAAATTTCTACGACGCTACATTGCTGACCTAACATCTGTTATTACTAGCTAAAACTTTGCTTTTAGTTTCCTTTATTCCTCATGAAGTGTGGACATAGCATAAGTAATGTGTAGAAAAAAGAACAGCATAAATGAGTGGGCAGTGACAAGGAAAATGAAGTAAAACAGATTTACCTGAGAGTCCAGAGGATCAGCTTCGCGAGAAACAAGATGTTGCAAGCTAACAATAACATTAGAAGCAGCCAATATCGGGTCAATTGTATGTTGGGGAATGGCTGCATGGCCTCCCTTTCCACTAATTACTGCTTCGAAGAAGCCACTTCCTGCCAAAAAGGGACCAGGCCTAGAGGCCACTTCGCCAATAGATAATGTACGTGTGATATGCAATCCAAAGATAGCAGCAACATTTTCTAAAGCCCCAGCATTTAAAACTTTCTCAGCCCCTCCACCTCCTTCCTCTGCTGGTTGGAAAACAAGAACAACAGTTCCCTATTCAAACAACAAATAGAATAAATGATATCAGAAATCCATGAGAGAAAGAAAATAACAGAATTAGTAAGTTCAGAACACATAGTAGGCATGAGCGACTGTCCCAAAATAGTTGAATCATTGGGAAGTCAACTTTTCCTTCTATATTCTCCATCCCCCCTTGCATATTATGTGTTAGAATTTAGCAATCACAGCAACATCGTTTACCATTTATAAGCTGTCTGCCAGATGATAGAATAACGTTAAAACAAAGGGTTGGCAAAGTGTGGGACATGATTCAAACTAAAAATCAAAAAACATGCACACACAAAAGCACCAGGAGGACCAAATTTCTTGATTACAAGAAAAGGTTAAAAAAAAAAAAAAAAAGAGTAGTGACTTCACATGGCCACATTCTAAAATCCAATCTGAAAAGCATTATGCCACTAAAAAAATTAGCAGATCATGGGTTCAACTTTAATCATGTGAAAGTAGCTCATGTTATATAATTGCTTGTATTGTTTACAAATCTACAGTTTAGTTTTCATCATGGCTGATTTATCAAACATTGTGCTTCAGAATTTAAAGGATTATCTTTCAAAAAAAAAATGGGGGGGTGGGTTTAGAAATAAAGAGATAACATAAAGAAGCATACTTTTATCTCTTTTTCATGCTCTTTGAGGATCTTTGCAGCACCAAGAAGCAAAACAACATGAGCACCGTGTCTTAACATTGTGCTTCAGAATTTAAAGGATTATCTTAACTTTTTTTTTTTTTTGGTGTGGGGGGGTGTTAGAAATAAAAAGATAACATAAAGAAGCATACTTTTATCTCTTTTTCTTGCTCTTTGAGGATCTTTGCAGCACCAAGAAGCATAGCAACATGAGCATCGTGTCCACAAGCATGCATCTTTCCAGGTACTTTACTTTTGTGCTCCCACTCCACCATTTCCTAAAGTTAATAAAACCAAAAATAAAATATAAAGTACACAGTGTCCTATAGGAAAGATGGATCCAGAAATTAGGAAGAAAGGAGGTGCTATTATGAAAAAATTGACTAGCAAAATGCATGTCACTTCAAATCTCGGCCCAAGACCAAACTTATAAAGATACCACAATTCCAACACCAAACAAGCATACATTCACTAAAATATAAAAAAAAGGTCTAGCATTCTGCATAGCAAGAGAATCCAGACCCAGAAAGGGAGGGGAGCAATAACGAAAGTTTGAGTACAGGAAAATCCCTTTAAAAGTGCCACAATTCCAAAACCATGTAAGGATCAATTCATGCAAAGAAAAAAAGGAGGAAAAAAGAGTGAAATTCATATAGACCTGCATAGCAAGAGCATCCATATCGGCTCTTAATGCAACAAAAGGAGGCCGACCGGTACCTATGAAGCCAATAACGCCAGTAACAGCAACTGGGTATTTATAAGAGATGCCCAATTTATCCAATTTCTCTCTTATCAGCTCACTGGTCTTAAATTCTTCATAACCCAGTTCAGGGTTCTCATGAATCTTCCTTCGAATTTCAATCATCCAATCAAAAACCTCTGGCTTTTTGGCAAATTCTAAAAAATCAATGGGAATTGCTGATAATGGATGGCCTGAACTCAAGGAGAAATCTGATAAGACGAGTGTTGCAGCAAAGAGATGAAACACGATGATCAAGCAGACCCAATTGAAGAAACCCATGATTCCTTTGAGGGGTAGGAGATTGGATTGAAGATATTCAAGCAAGAAAAATCAGATGAATCAGAAAAGTATAGATCATAAAAGTTACCAGAGTGAGTAATGAGAGTTGAAGTTGACCAACAGGGATTTGAAAAGAGGCGTCTGCTATATAACATAAAATATTGTGGTCTGAGTTTGGGAGCAAAATGATGAATGGAGCGCCAAGCGCAACACGTGATAAACTTCCATTTCATCACGTTTTCCCAAGTCAGTTTCGTTCTGGTTTACGCTCATAACCGGCCACCAAGTCTTCTTGTTTTGATTCATCACGTATTATTATTTCTTCACTAATTCAGTCTTAGTTTGGAAAATGAAAATTACTTTGGCCGAAATCTCATCTAACTTTGGATATTTGCAACTTTGCATCGAGTTGTCACTTCTGTCATAACCGGCCCCCCATTAAGACATTCATGATATGACATTCACGCAACCCTATCTTAATACTTTTTAAATAATGCATATGAAAAAGAAATAACTTAAGATAATACATGCCTATTTATATAACACTCATAACAAAAAAATCACCTAAAAAACAAATAAAAACATGAAATAACATCGTTGTAGGCTCTTGAATTTTTTTAAAAAATAAGGAAATGATTCTGACCGATCCCATGTTGGTTTTCTTTTTGGCTGATTTTCAAGTGTACCAAACTAGATATGTAACTGGTTCTCAGTCTAACTAAGTCAATTGGAAGGTTCAATTCCTGGCCAAAAAAAAAAATTGAAAAGTTCAGTTCATTTTTTTTAATTAAAAGAGCAAGTATTAATAACTCAAAAATATCAATGAAATTGAGCCCATAACCTTCTACTTATAAAAAAACTTAAATGTTATCATATTATTTACAGGCTTTGATTCAATTTTAATAACGTTTATTTTTTTCATATACAATATTCTAAAAGTAATTATAGAAAGTAGATATTCAAATTGGTAAAATCTAACATGCATGAAAAATGTTACTTTAGCAAACATAAATAAATAGGAGTTACTTTTTTTAAGAAAAATTATTCTTTAATTTTTAATCATTTAATTTTTAATTTGATTATAATTTAATATTTTTAATTTAATTTATTATAACTTAGTTCGTAAAATTTTATTCAATCAAAAATTTTATCCTTCCCGTTAATAAATCAGATTGAACTTGCTTATGTGTCATAAATAGAGCTTACATGGCATTCTCAGAGCACCACAAATGGCAACATATTAAAAAATAAAATAAAAAACAGTCCCTGACATTTAAAATATAAAATCTGAAACTACATGGCAAGAACTCTGCCTCCTGGTATATAATTCCACGCTCACCACCATCCTCTGTTTCATTTTTGGCTGATCCAAATCTGGAAATCTCAAGTATTTCAACCCACATCATATAGCGCTCAAACACGACAATGAAACTCCTCAAGTTCCCTTTCCTCGCTCTGTTCATCGTCTTCCTCATTGGGTTGCCCAATCTTGGGATCGCTCGTGATTATTACAGAGATAGAGAGATGCATTGTCGAAGGCAATCTTGTTATTCAAGGGCCAGTGATCGGGGTATATCAACCGAACAACTAGAGAGATTATCAAGTCAAATCTCAATGGCATAGCTTCTGTTGAAGTGAACTTTACCGTCCTGAGAAGCGCAAATTTTACATTTAATTTTAGACATTAGACTTCAGATATAAGTATGATGTGATTGATCTCCATGGCATCGCTTTTCTTATGTAATTTCAGATTTTATATTTTAAACTTCACGTACTGTTTTTATTTATTTATTTTTAATATGTTATCATACGTGGTGCTGTCATAATGCCATGGAGTAAGCCTTAGTTGTGACACAAGCAAAATTGGTCTAATTCACTAATGGCATGGATTGAATTTTTAAATGAATCAAAATTCAAGAATTAATTCAAAACAAGTTAAACTTGAATAGAACTAATAATACGAGCCAGCTCGCAAAAGGTTTGGCGATGTGAGCTGACATAACCCTCATTTTAATATATTGTATTTCTATCAAGCTGCAATAAGTAGTGACAAACTAGCTAGTAATAGGGAGGATAATAGAAAGGTTTTAAAAGGATCAATTAATTTAAATTAGATCTCAAATATCAAACTTTAAAAATTTATAAATCAATTTTTTAATTTTACAACTTTATTGTGATAAATTTAAAACTTATATTTTAAATTTTAACAAAGAAAATATTTTTTTATTCTTCAACCATATTAAAATTTGCAAAACAAATTATAATTTCATCATAAAGCAATTACAAAATTAAAAAATTAAGTTGTAAATTTATAGAATTTGACATTTGAAACCTAATTTAAATTAATTGATCCTTTTTGAACTTCTTTATCATTCTCCCCGTTGTTTTTCCTTTCTATATAAATTTTTGACCTTTCATTTTTTGAAGTTCTTATTATTCATTATTGAACTTGAAAAATCAGCAAGTTGAAATCAGTCAAACATGAGTGGCTATATAACTTTTTTTTTTAAATGAAAGTATCTTTTTTTTATATAATTGACAACCATTTTTATAACTTGGTGTTATTCACAGGACATGAATAATGTAGAATACAGTAGTGTGAATCTTAAAACAAATTATGTTATAATCTTTACAAGTAATAGTACTAGAATAATAAGTTAAGTTTGCTAGAATAAACATTTGAAAATAAAACACATATTGCCATTATGTGGATTAAAAGTTTTTAAATGATAATTTAGTAAATTTATTTCTACTTTTATCTTCAGAATATGCATGAAAACAAGTTATTTGTCAATTAACTAATGTGTGTGTGTATTTTATAACTGTGAACATTTATTTATTTTTTTAGTAGTGTTATGAAAAATTTAGTGACAAGAGATTTTTGGCTGAAAGACAATTCTCATCAAGATTTATATTTAAGTGAAAGAGTTGAGATATTAGAGGGTTCTTTTTTTTTTTAACAAATATAAGGACATGATTTGCCTGCCAAAGAAAATTAATCAAAACTTAGAAAACAAAATAACATAAAAGAAAGGCTTTGTGAAAATAACACTTGACACCAGGAAATATTTGTGGGCCTTATCCATTTACGTAAAGAGGCTAAAGTTATTTTATCAATTTATCAATGATTCTGTTTGTAATTCTTCTATTTTTTAATGATTAAAGAAGAATATTGCGCTCCAAAAGGTCAAAAATTATTATTAAACGGAGTTGAGAAATAAAATAATCAGCATGAAGAGGATTTATATGTTTTTGGAAGAATGATACAAAAGTCTCTTTTAATTCAAGTTAGACTTTAAGTGTCAAATTTTAAAAATTTATAAATCAATCTCTTAATTTTATAACTTCGTTATGATGAATTTATAATTTATATTTTAAATTTTAATAAAAAATAAATTTTTTATTTTTCAATCATGTTAAAATTTAAAAAAAATAAATTATAAATTTAGCACAACATAATTATAAAATTGAGAAATTAAATTATAAATTTTTAAAGTTTGACAATTAAGATCTAATTTAAATTATTTATTTTTTTTTAGTACTTCTTTATCATTCTCCTATAATTTTCCCACCTTCTTTATTAATGACATCACTTTCATTATGATTTGATTGATAACGTTGGTTTTCACATTATCGGATGTGTTGGTTTCATCTAATTTTTAATATATTTCTTTAAATTCTAAATTTGTAATTAAATTCTTGTCATTTGAAAAAAAATTCGGGCATAGGGCTCTCGGGACTTTTCCTAGGACAATTGAACCAGTGCTAATGACTCTCTCTCTCTCTCTTTTTTTCTTTTTTTGATAGGGCTAATATAATGACTCATATTTTGCGAAAGCATTACGGCAACTAACTTATACATGTGCTAAACATGTAAATTAAAAGTCAAGAAATTGCCAGGTCAACAACACACATGTATGAATAATAAGTTGATTCTATTATCAATATGGATCAACTACATCCACTAGTTTGAATAACTCACATTTTTCATAACTTGCTAATCATATGATAAACTTCATTATACATATCGCTATTAATTTTCAAATAACGTTGTTAATTGATCTTTTTTTTTTTCATGCAACGATCATCGTTTTTTTTTTAACTGGACTTGTTTTATTAATTTTAAAAACTATGATAAACTTCTGAGTTAAATTTTCGAAATCATTTATCAAAAAGGAGCTCAATATGTGGCCGCATAATAAGTCTAAAAAATGTAGCCATAATAAGTCCAAAAAATGTTAAGACTAAGTACAAGAAAATCATTCCTTTTCTAACCAAACTTTTTAGACTACCTCAGATTAAGTTTGAAAAAATTTGAAGCAAAACTCGTTCAAGTTCAAGCCGGCTTGAATATCCACACATGTTTTATGTTTTTTTTTTAATGATAATGAGGGGTGAGCGGAGGGGAAATTATGTGAGGAAGAAGACAATAAATCAAAGTTGTAAGAAAAGTTAGTGAATTCATGTTCATGATAAAAAAAATTATCTGTCATTTTTTTTATTTTTATTATCATAATTTTCATCGCTCACGTAACATTTTATGCTCGTTATTTTATTTGTGGCTATTTATTTTTTCTTATTAAAACTAAAAAATTTTCCTCTACTATTTTTTTTCATACATCACTTTAGCTAAGTAAACTAAATTCCTAAATAACATCTTGGCACAATCTTCACACATTGCATATTTGTTGATGTATTTGAAATTTTTAAAACTATCCAAACAAAAAATTTTAAATAGATGAACTTTAAATGTGAGATTTAAAATGAAATATTTTTAGATTTAAATTTTAAATCTATCAATCCAAATGCTACCTTAGAGAGTATATTAATTAATAAAATTAATCAACTAAATTGATATATATTAAAAATATTTTTTGAAGGTAGAAACTAATTTGAAATATATTAGTTGATATTTAAAAAAAGGCATAAAACTTGAAGACTTGACTCTTTTAAAGGTAAAAAATTAAGGTAACTAAGCTTAACTATATAAACTTTTATGTATGTTCAAATTTATTTGAAGTGACCCAACCTATTAAAATCACTAGCTTTAGAGAGAGAGAGAGAGAGAGAGAGAGAGTTTGGAAGGACACTTTTTTTTTGGTACCCCAACACTTACAAAGCAAATAATTAATGCAAAATCAAATTCATGCTAGTTAGAAAAGACTCTAAACATCTCACCCTCTCACCCTAACCCTTAAATATATAGGAAAACCCTAGTTGATCTTACAATTTCTCTTTGTCATGTTTTTGAAATTTTTGGTCTTGATCTTACCTAC